AGAGTCACAGACTTTCTCTGAGAGCTCTATCCGAGCATAGCGTTGTATCTCTGGACTTTTTGTTTGTCCAGTCACACAGTATCCAGCTGTCTTCCGCATCTTTTTGTTCCAGATGATTTCCATTTTCTCTGGCAACTGAAACAAAATCAAGAAACAGTGAATTTTAACTACCCAGGGTTGCTGTGCAGGAATTTAAATTTAGAGTCACAGACTTTCTCTGAGAGCTCTATCCGAGCATAGCGTTGTATCTCTGGACTTTTTGTTTGTCCAGTCACACAGTATCCAGCTGTCTTCCGCATCTTTTTGTTCCAGATGATTTCCATTTTCTCTGGCAACTGAAACAAAATCAAGAAACAGTGAATTTTAACTACCCAGGGTTGCTGTGCAGGAATTTAAATTTGAGCCCTTTTGGAGGGGGCACATCTTGTGCCCAGGCTGCAGCCTGCAGCTTGACCTGTAAGCTTCTGTTGCAGCCTCTGTGCTGGAGGAGCTCATTCTCTCTCACAGCCCCCTGAAAGGAGCTCACTCTCTGCCCCTCCAATGTCCCCAGGAGGAGATCTCTTCACATGTGCGCCCATCCCTAGCTGTAGCTCCAGGACTGGAGGAGTTATGTGCCCTCAATGATTAACTGGATGAGGGGCTCCTCTGGCTTGGCTCATATCTTTCTCAGATACTTAAACTTTTTCCCTTGTGTGTGTAACATCAGAGCCCTTCATAACATACCTTGCTGGGAAACAACATCTTTGTTCATACCCTTTAGACAGATAGTGGAAAGTTAGATGTGAGAAATTCACTTTCTCTTCTCTACCGCTCCTTAGAGGCTGAAGAAGTTCATTATCTTTATAGTATGAAACAGCCACATAGTAGTAATGTTCTTCAGAGAAAATGACAGCAAGCCAAAAAAGCACTCTTCAAATTATATCCCTCAAGTAACAGTACAGAGAAAAGAAGAAAAATCTCAAATCTCTAGATATCAAGTCCTTATATGACTTCCTTGCCATAGTCACCTTGACAGTCTCTTCCTCAGGTATTCAGAGAGAGATGTCTCCCTCCTCTCTCTCACACAACAAAGTTATTAAGATCCCAGATCCAAGGTTGTAGCCCCTATTTGCTAAATCCGTTTTCTGAACCCACAATGAGGGCTGAAGCCTACCCCAGAAGATTCTCTAACAAGGTATTAAATGTCCTTCACTGATGCTTAATGGGGGTGTTTCAAATGACTAACTACTTAATCTCTGATCCCTTGTTACTCCAAAATATCAGCAGAAAATAACCATCTTTTTCAGAATTCTAGTATTGCTGGTATGCTTAGTGCATGTCTTCACTGCACAGCTAACCTGAAGTCTTATCATGTTTAAAGTTCACACTCCACCAGCCACAGAAGAAAAACTTCTGATCTACTTTTGAGGTGCTTTAAACACAGGTTAGTTTATACAGGTAGGGCTATAGGTTAAAATCTAGGCTTCCCTTTCACTTGCCCTGTACCCTGCCAATTCTGCAGCTAGGATGCACGCAAACATCACTCTAGTCCTGATGGTTCTGCAATATCCTTCCAACAGTTTCCTATAAAGGAAAGATTAGTTCTTAAAATTCACTTGAAAAGACTCTTAGAACATCTCAGTACAGAGAGGAAGTTACTTACCGTGTTCAATAACGATGGTTCTTCAAGATGTGTATCTCTGTGGTTGCTCCACTGGAGGTGTCAGTGAGTCCCTGTGCTGGTGATCAGAGATTTTCAGTAGCAGTGCTCAGTTGTACATGTGCAGTAGCTGTCTCATGGTGCAGCTGGCGCCTAATATAGTGTACATGTGATGCAACCCCCTCCATTCCTTCTCTGCCTTAGAGTTCAGTAGATCCAATCCGACAAGGAGGGGCAAGGGTGCGTAATGGAACACCCCACAGGGACACAAATCTCAAAGAACCATTGTTACTGCACAAGGTGTGTAACTGATGACTAATTCTAGTGGTGTTCCTTTGGGTGCTCCATTCCAGGTGACTATAGAACAAAGTCTCTGTAAGGATGATAGAGCTTCAGAGTTATATTTGGCAGTGGATGAAAGCACAGCTAGGCCGACAATGGTATGGGAAATGGGTCCACTTGTGATGGCATAATGTTTTGCAAAACTGCACTCTGAAGTCTGAGTTGTGGCCCTGTAGATGTCTGTTAAGGGACATTATTTAGTCCCTTAACCTAAGTTGAGGTTGCCATGGCCCAAGTAGAATGGGTTTTGACTCCCATAGGGAAGTGTTTGTTGTGAATTATGTATCATGTACATGTAAAGGTAAAGATCCACTTAGACAGTCATTGCAGGGAGATCACCAAGCCTTCATTCATCTAAAGAAATGGGTTCTGCCCATGAAAGCTCATGATCCCATCTACATTTTTTGTTAGTCTTAAGTTTTACCGAGCCTTTGGACTGCTCAACTGTACAAAAGAACAGCTGTGGTGTGTAACTTGCGGAATGACTTGGCCTTATCCAAGTAGAAGGTGACAGTTTGTTTAACATCCAGCATATGAATGCTCGATTCATGTGGGTCCTTATGCAGTTTGGGGTAGAATGCAGGTAGGTATATGGGTTGATTAATGTGGAAGGCAGAGGCTACTTTAAGCAAAAAGGTGGGAAGTGGTTGTAGCATGATCTTGTCTTTAGCAAATAATGTATAAGGGAGTTTCATTTTCCAACTCATCTAGCCAACATGATTGCTACCAGAAGAAGGGAGCATGTAGATAAAGGAGAGTCATGTAAGAATTCTGAGGACAGTTGAGGTCCTATGTATTTGGTTTTGGAAGGTCATAATGGGTGCAAGATGAACTTTAAGTGAACTTATGGACAGACAAGATTCTTAAGATCCAAAACGTAATCCAAAAGGTGGGTTGGGAAGTCCTGATCAAGGACAGTTGTTTGTGTTGGCACTATAGAATCTTTTCCACTTCTGCAGGTATTTCTGGTAGTGGATTGACAACTATTCAGTAACACCTTTTACTCTCTCTGAGCAGATTTCTTCCCCATGTTTCAACCACAAAGGAGAGACACTTTGAGGTGACACATCTCTGGGTTTTGGTGCAGCATGAAGCCTTTGTGCTGCAATAGAAGATTCAGAGATGCAAGAAGTGGGTGAAGATCACATACTGTGATCCATGGGAGGTAAGGGAACCAAGTCTGTCTGGGCCATGTCAGGACAATGAGAATGATGTATGCATTGTCCATCTGTATCTTGTGAATGACTTGCAGGATCAACAGTATTGGCAGAAAGGTGTATAGAAGTATGAGGAACATGTTCCCCAACAATCCAGGTTTGAGGCCCACTCTGGGGCAGAAATGCAGGCATTTGTGGTTCACTGGTGACACAAATATGTTGATTTCTGGATAACACCATTTGCAGAATATCATTCTGAGGCATGCTGGGATTTCCCATTCTTCTTATTGTAGCCTGGGAAGGAGTTTTAGTAAAATTTGGATGGGTTAGGCTTACTAATTGGACCAGATAAATCTAGGTTCGTCCTCTATTCCAAGTTACAGTTCAGTGGAACCATAAGATTCCTTCTCTTGAGGGCCGGCAGGTGACTGACAGCAACCACACTAACTCAGGAAATGAAATAGAAAACAATGTTATTGCTAAAGGAACGACTATAATGCTTACCACAACAAAGACAGCAGCAAGAACACAAATCACTTGAATTCCTTCCCAAAAGATCATTAACACAATCAAATTAAAACTTATCTGGCTGTGTCTACACTGGCGCGTTCTTGCGCCAAAGCAGCCGCTCTTGCGCAAAAACTTGCTGCCTGTCTACACTGTCCGTGTGTTCTTGCGCAAGTAAACTGATGTTCTACTGTATAAAATCAGGGCTTCTTGCGCAAGAACTATGATGCTCCCACTCAGGAATAAGCCCTTTTGTGCAACTGTTCTTCCGCAAGAGGCCAGTGTAGACAGGCAACATGAATTTCTTTTGCAAGAAAGCCCTATGGTTAAAATGGCCATCAGAGCTTTCTTGCGCAAGAGAGTGTCTACACTGGCATGGATGCTCTTGCGCAAAAGTGTTCTTAAGGAGGATGAAAGTCTCAAGGGAACAGAGCATTTAATGGGAGCAGAGGGAAACCATCCCGTAGTTGGGACCCTCCTCCCAGAGGATGTTGCGGTATCCTCTTGCACTGAGGATACCTCTAATGGGGAGGGAATGCCAGCTAGGAAGAGGCAGGTGTTAGTAGTGGGTGATTTGATGATTAGAAACATAGATAGTTGGGTTTGTGATGACCGGGAGAACCGTATGGTCACTTGCCTGCCTGGTGCAAAGGTTGCGGATCTCTCGAGGCATCTAGACAGACTTATGTGTAGTGCTGGGGAGGAGCCGGTGGTCGTGGTACATGTAGGTACCAATGATGTAAGGAAGGGTAGGAGAGATGTCCTGGAGGCCAAATTTAGGCTGCTAGGAAAGAGAGTGAAATCCAGGACCTCTATGGTGGCGTTCTCGGAAATGCTTCCAGTTCCACGTGCAGGACCAGGTAGGCAGGCAGAGCTTCAGAGTCTCAATGCGTGGATGAGACGATGGTGTAGAGAGGAGGGGTTTAGATTTATCAGGAACTAGGGAAACGTTTGAGATAGGAGGAGCCTATATAGGATGGATGGGCTCCAACTAAGCCAGTGCGGAGATGCACGTAAATCGGAGAGAGACTTCTCTTAGAGGAGAATCCGTTGATAGAGATTCTCTAAGCTGTAGTCGGAAAGAGAGGAGGGAAGAGGGCAAACCATTGGCCAGAGCTGACAAACAACCGCATACAAAGGAATCCAATGCATCAGGGAAGGGCAGACAAATAACCAGTGGCAAATTTTTAAAGTGCTTGTACACAAATGCTAGGAGTCTGACTAATAAGATGGGTGAACT